AAGCGTGCAGGTGAAGCCCCGCTGCCGCCCCCAGAGCTGCCTGGCATCGCCGGCCCCTGCTCCGCTGGTCAGACTGGGCCGAGAGCGCCTCTCACGCATGCACCCTGCCGCCGCCCATGGCAAGAGGACAAACCTCGCTCCCGCTCGCCCGGGACCCCACCAGGTGCCAGCCCGGGCCGGTGTGGCGCCTGCTCACGATCAGCAGCGGGACAAGCATAAGACCCCGGTCTCTCTGCCGTTTCTCTCCAGGTCCCCGGCACCTCGCGGTCCCTGTCCCCTGGCAGGGCTTGCCAGCCGCTCACCGAGGTCAGGCTGTGGGAGGAGCCCGAGCGCTTGCTGGGCTCGATGGAGGAGATGCCGCTGAGGGTGTCGTTGCTCTTGCTGCTGGGGCTCTGCACCCTCCGGCTGGAGCAGCCTGGGGGAAGGAGGGCGGTCACCCTGCTGTGCCCGCCTGGGACCCGCCCATCCTGCTCCCCGGGAAGCTCGCTGCCCTCCTACCGCAGGTCACAGGGCACCAAGTCCAGGCAAGGGCCAGGCCCACCTCTGCTGCGAAGAGCTGAGAATCAGGCCCAGCCACCTCCCCGCCTGACTCAGTTTTCCTGTGTCACTGACCTACTGAGGTTGCTCCTCTTTCCAAAAGGGACTGAGACAACTTTTAAAAGTACACAATTGGAAAAAAGGAAGTGAATAAAATAAAAATAAAATATAACAGCAAAAAAAGATATGTACACACACACACACACACAAATGGGAAACTAAGGCAAGAGGATCATAAGTTTAAGCCCAGCCTAAGCAATTTAGAAACTGAGAAAGCCTGTCTCAAATTTAAAAAATACAGGGCTGGGGATTTAGCTCAGTGGTTCCACCACCTGCCTCACAAGCATAAGGTTCTGAGTTCGATCCCCTATACAAAATAAATAAACTAAATAAATAAATAAAAGGGCTGGGGATTTGGCTCAGTAGTTCTGCCACCTGCCTCACAGGGCCTGAGTTTGATCCCCAGTATCAAAAAAACAAAAATAAAAACAAAAAAAATTAAAAACTAAAGAAAGGGGCCAAGGGATTTAGCTCAGTGGTGCCGCCACCTGCCTTACAAGCACAAGGACCCAAGTTTGATCCCCGGTACCAAAATAAATAAATAAAATAAAATAAAAGAACAGCCTGGCTGCTAGGCATACACCTGTGAGCCCAGCACTTCAGGGACTGAGGCAGGAGTTCAAGGCCAGTCTGGACTGCACCGTGAGATCCTTGTCTCAAAAGACCAGGAAGAATTTGGGTCCTTGTGCTTGCAAGACAGGTGGTGGAAGCACTGAGCTAAACCCCCAGCCCCAGGAAGACTTTTTCTTAAGTGAGGAAAGCGGGGACTGGGGCGTGTCTCGGGGAGAGCTGGGCTTGGCATCACGGGCCCCGGGTAAAGGAGAGCAGGGAACGGAAGAGGTGAAGGTGAAACGAGAGACAGCACAGTGGCACCGTGCAGACCGGTGAGAGGCAGGGTGGACGCAGCTCCAGGCTGCCCGGGGCCACTGCGAGGAAAGCTGATGAGGCCACTTTCGGGTACACGTCTGTCTCGGGGTCTAAAGAGCTCGTTTTGTAATTATGAAAAAAAGCTTCCTTTTGCAATGACAGCTCCCAAGTCAAACTCATTTTCCCAGGGGACTTGTTTGTTTTGCTTTAGGTTTTGGTTTTAGGTTTTTGAGACAGGGTCTCACTGTGTAGCTCAGGCTAGCCTTGAACTCAAGGCGATCCTCCTGCCTCAGCTTCCCGAGTGCTGGGATTACAGGCATGAGCCAAGACACCCAGCCGAGACTTGCTGCTTAAAATAGCTTTCTCCCACAATAGCACCTGGGAGAACTCTCTGCCTTGGAAAGACACCAATATGACACTCAGGTGTGCAAAACAGCCCAAGATGAAGAGAGCAGTAAAAATTTCCTAAAACCACAGCCCCAGCCACTAGACAGGGTAGCACTGCCAGGGAAGGGAGCAGAGAAACGCAGTGAGGGTAAAGGAACACGAGGAGTCTGGGGGCAGACAACAGTGACTCTGATTGTATGACTGTGTGTGTGTCCAAGCTCAGAAATGAGCCAGAGTGGTGCACACCTGTAACCTCAGCACTCTAGGAGGCTGAGGCCGGAGGATTGCAAGTTGAAGCTCAGCCTAGGCAACTCAGCGAGAATGTGTCTCAAAAAAAAAAAAAAAAAAATCCCCCAAAACCCCAAAACAAAACAACAGGCCGGGGATGCAGCTCGGTGTGAAGGCCCAGGTTCCATCCCCAGTGCTGGAAATAAAGAAGAAACAAACTCGCCCAGGAACTGCTCCCCAGCCCCAGCTCCTCTGTGCCATGTGCTCCGCAAGGGTCCTGGGACCTGAGCGCCTGGAGAACCAGCACCACCAACCCAACCCTTGCGATGGTTGGAGGACGGGGTCCCTGGCACCCGCCTCACTCGGAGGGGAGCAAGTGCGACACGGGGATGCACACTACCTTTCTTCACAGAGGGCACCTTCCGGGCCATGAGGAAGGGCAGGGGCACCGTGCCCAACTGCTCGCCGCCCACCTCGGGCCCCACCTGCTTCTTCCTCCGCCGGCGCCTCTTCAGCTGGTGAGCAGCAAGGGCCAAGGCCACAGTCCCCAGGGTGGTGGCAAAGAGGACTTTCCGCAGGCCTGGCGTCAGACGCAGCTGTGAGAAGGCAGACTGGGGAGAGAGGGGCTGGTTGTGTCACCCCCGCCCAGAGAGCTGTCCCCAGAGCACCAGATGAGCCTCAGGCAGCCACCACCCCACGGGACCTGCCTGGCCTCTGCGCAGCGGGGACCATAGAGACAAGAGGGCCGTGCCGGGGGTGTCTGGACGCTGTGAGCCCCATGATCACGGCTGTGTGCCAGGCTCCGCACCAGGATTGGCCTGGTACCTGCTGGAGCCCAGTCACTTTTCAGATGGGGAAACTGAGCCCAAGACACATGCGCAGGGTGACGGAGATGCAGAACTAGAATCGAGTCCTTGAAGACAGTGACATTCACTCCACACAGACCCACCCTCGCCTGCTGCCTTGGGAGCCCTGGGGTGGAAATCACGCCTGCAACAGAGCTGGAGGAAGCGTGGAGATCTGGGCTGTCGGGGATGGTGACACTGATCCCTCCCTCCTCCAGACAGAGAAGTGGGGTTGGGATTTGGGGTAAGACTGGGCGCTAACCCGGGCCTTCTTCCTCTGCTCAGAGAAGACACCAGATGCGTGGGATGCACGGATGAGGGCCCTGCTCGCAAAGATGCAGGGGACTGGGGCTGAGCAGCTCAGGGCTTCACGCCGAGGAGGGAAAAGGGCAGGACCCTGCCCCGCCCCAGTCCTCACCTGCCCGAAGGTGGTGTACAGGAACACGGGGATCTCAGCCACCGTCATGGCCAGCGCCTGGATCACAGACATGCCCTCGGTCCGCCGGAACGCCATGGCAGGAAGGGCAGCGGGCCAGAGCCCACAGGACTGGGGGCTTCCAAGCAGGGTGTCTTCAGCTGGTGGCTAGCTGGGTCCTGGGCACCATCCACACCCCGGCAGGGCAGGGACACACATACCAGAGGGTCCCTCCGTAGGGCTGAGGGACAGAATCCAACTCAGACCTGAGAAAGTGCACACAGGGGTCAAAGTGTCCAAGCTGCGACACTCATGCGCCCCAGTCCCCTGAAGCACACGTAATGCGCACACCAACACGAAAGCCAGTGAGCACAGGGGACACGCACACGGCCTGCGGAGCCCGAGGACTCGGGGCAACGTCTGGTCGCTGTCAGCAGGCAGGCACCCAGATGGCCACTCTGAGCCTTGAGAGGCTCCAGGGCCTGGGCTACACACGGGTCGGCCTTCAGAGCGGGAATTTCACCACTGTCAGCCTCTTTGAACCCACAGGCCGGGGCTAAACAAAATTTGCAGGCCCCAGACTGGAAATCGTGACACCTTTTTCCCTTCCCATGAAGCCAAATGTGGTTCACTTCCTGGGGGCCACACCATGAAGAACAGCGGGCTCTGGCAGCACAGGGCAGCCACGGTGTGGGCCACGACTGTGTGTTTGTGCCGAGTCCTTTCACCAAGTTACCACAACTGGGTAGCACAGGTGTGGCCCATCCTGCCCCACCTCCCTCCACCTTCCTTGAGGAAACTGAGTCCCAGGGAGGCTCCATCCAGAGTCGCAGAGCGCAAGGCTGACATGTGGTGGAGCAGGCAGCTGAAGGGTCTTGGGCTCTAGACAGCCGATTCGAACCCTCTGGCTCCACGTGACGTGCAGCAGGAAGTGCAAACCCAGCAGAACCACGGAGACGGGGGGCAGCTTTCCCAGGACCTTCTGAGAGGCCCCCAGGGTGTCCACTCGCTGCCCCCTCCCAAGGCTGGGCTTGATCACACAAAGCCTGCTCCCCAAGACGCTGCAGGCTGCCCCCAGGCCAGCACCCAGCCCAAAGATGCCTTCAAGGTCTCCAGGGACCTCAAGTGGTAGGAACACACAGGCCAGGGAGACCCTGTCCCCTGGGAAGACAGCCAAGACACAGGTCAGCACAGGGTCAGCTTATCCCGGTGGGTGGGCAGGCTGGCCAGCCTGTGCTGGGGCAAAAGTGAGGCAGGGTAATGTTCTAGGGCCAACTCCGCCACAGTCATCCTGCCAGGTGGCTCTGAGCATTGAGCCGTGACCCTGTGAGTTCCAGCGTCACACCACGGTAAGCCCCTCCTCTGCCACCCAGCCAGTTGTGGGCCCAGGACGGGGAAGGGAGCACCATGCCCATCCGGGGCGAGCACTGCTCTCTCCCAGGCCAGGTCTGCAACAGGCTCTCTGCAGAGGGCTCTGACTTGGACAGAACTCTTGAGGACAGGGAAACTGAGGCTCTGGAGGACAGCAGCCTCACCAAGGTCACGCCGGTTCCCCCAGCTTAGGGAACTGGGGAATCCCACAGCTGCAGGGACGCTTCCCAGCCAGTGCCCTCTACAACTGCCCTTCGATATCTTTTTATTTATTTACTTCCTGAGACAGGGTCTCACCATGTAGTTGAGACTGCCCTGGAACTCACTATGTAGCCCAGGCTGGTCTCGAGCTCGCGGCAATCCTCCTGCCTCAGCCTCCCGAGGGCTGGGATTACAGGCGTGCGTCACCATGCCTGGCTGCCCTTCGTTATCGGTGCCACATGAGGGATTTCAAAGGTCGGCAAAGTCACACAGACGTGGCGGGACACACACTCCAGGAGTCCACGAACTAGGCAGGCTCTGACAGGACTGAATCCGGGTACCCTCTTTTGGAGAAGAAAACCACGCTGGTCTTCCAATCCCCACTTCACTGCAAGGCGGCAAGGGGTCCGTCCCCTTGGCACAACCCAGGCCCGAAGCTCCGAGGCTCCAAGTTGAAAACCTCTGCCCCGCGGGGAGATCCCACTGCGAAGCACCCGCCGGGAAGACACTTCCTGATG